GCGAAGCCGACAAGCTGGGAAGCCGAGAAGCCAACAAGCTGGGAAGCCGAAAAGCTAGGAAGCCGAGAAACCAAGAAGCCGGAAGCCACTAAGCCAGGAAAGCAACAAATTGCCTTGTAAGTCGTAAATTTGTTTTTGATCCTTTTTAAATTTTTTCTTGATCCTTTGTAAATATTTTTTTGATCCTTTTTAAATTTTTTTTTGACCCCTCTCCCAGCGGTGAAGGGGGCCCCTTGTCTGCGAGCTGGGCACTCAGCATATGCAGAGGGATCTGCAGAGAAGAAGCGTGTTTGCCGTTTGAAGCTCTCGACTGCACACTGCCCTAAGCGGAGGTGACGGTATTTACTTGGCTTGGTGCCCTGAAGGATGACTTCTTCATTCGTCATCGAGTCGTGGTTGCGTTATTGGCTGTTGTTGCTTGTCGCTGTGCTGTTGTTGTGGCTGACAGTTTAAGCCTTCGCGCTGAAGTTGCCGACAATTTGTTAGGCCAGGCGTGTGTCTTTGGTTGGACACATGCCTCGGTCGATGCTTGCTCACTCACTCTCTCGCTTCCTGATGATGCAGTTGATGTTGCATAGCCAAACATGTGCAAAAAAGATACCGCCGGCATGGAGGATGCAAGCCTGGCCCTATCGGCGGAGTGGAGTCGGGCAAGCATGAAGTGTCCGACAGGCAAAGCTTCTCCTAAATGCATGGGCAAAGCTTGTCAGCTTTCCGGCTCGTGTCCAGCCCGGAGCCATCAAATACTCTGAAACGTGGCAGAGGTTAACAGCCCTAAATCTGCAAGCGTGGAAGCAAGCTGGGGCTGAAGCTCAACACGGCGATCAAAGTCTGAAAACTTGTGGGGGTTGCCCGAAAAAAAGACACCAGTCGCAAATACTACTTACCGCCAACCCTCTTGTCAGCCTGACTCTGTCCTTTGGTGGCTTTTGCCCGAGGCCGGCACCGTCGTTCGGCACTTCTCTATAGTGCAAACCTTGTTGGATGCTGGGCTAAGCCGGCTGCTAGAGCTCCCCAATCCAGCTGGCTTACGTTTCAATAATCTATTACCACGGGGTGCGAACATGTCAGATGAGAGCATGTACCGAGCCGTCTGGACGCTTTACCACAAACAGCTTTAGAGGGGCTCTTGATCCTCTAACGTTCATTTGAAGGCACTTGCCCTAAAGGTTGTCTCCCGTCTATGTCAATGGCCCCGGATGCTTTCACGCACGTCTGCGGCTGGCGGGCTCATTCGTCTTGTCTTGTAGTTGTGTGCCCTGGTGGATTCATTTGTGCTTCCTAGTTGTGTGCCGTGGTAGAGTGTGTAGACCCTGGATGCTGTAACGCCCCTGGGACTGGTGGAGTCATGCGTCTTTCGTTTGTCTAACAGCCGTGCCCATTTGTGAAGTGAACGGGCCCGTTGTCTCCTGTTGTGAAGTGAGGTAGTGTTGTCTCCCACCGGGTTGTGTCCAAGGCCCTGGGTGCTCCAACGCCCATACAGCAACCGCGCCTGCACTGTAACAAGAGCCGTCCCAGGAAGCCCGGCACTGGAACTCTTGGAGGAAGTCCGGTTTTCGGTCCCCTACTTTGACACCATTAAAGCCCCTATACTGACGGCTGTGTTTCGTTCAGTAGCAGTAGGAATAGCAGTAGCTCAGTAGCGGTAGCAGTAAGCTGCAGGCAGGCCCAGGGTTCAGAGTATTCGGTGTGAGGTTTAGGGTTTCGGTTTAGAGTTTTGTAAGTTTAGGGAAAAGGGTATAGGGTACACGGGAAGGGTATAGGTCCCAAGGGTAGAGGGTTTAGGGGTTGGGGGGCTTTCCATTGTTGCGTGGTTCTGGTTCCTGCAAGGTTTTAGTCTTAAAGTATTGTCTGCTAGGAGTGTTGCTGTCATACATCTATGTACATATACATGCACATTATGTATATACGTCTAGTGCCAAATTGTTGTGGTTCTCACTCTTTTACCTGCTGTTTTACTGCTGTCGTCGTTGTTGTCACTACTGGTCAAGTTATATGATCTTATGTGCATATATGCTTATGTGTAAATACCTATATCTATATGTATATTACGTATTTATGTAGAGGTTGCCACTGGCAATGTCAAGATTTACTTGCTCTGACTCTGAGCAAAGTAATGATTATCCAAGTCGCACTATATCGTGGGCATGTACATGAGCATCTGTGTCATGATCCTGAGTATTAATGTTCGTGCTCCTGGTTCGGGCAATCAGTGGCGTTGGAGTTGGCAGTGTTGCTTGCATTGCCGCCGCTTTGCTCCAGCTTGATCGTAACGCCACCGAGCAACAACCCTGCCTTCGCATGAACCTTTGAAGAATTTAGTATGGCTGGAGGTTTGGGATTTCGGCGATTGGCGTCAAAGGCTTTTTTGAAGTTTAGAAAGCCTTCGGCAATTGCCTCTCACACCGCTAACTTACATCCGAGGATCTTGTGTGGACGGTTGACCGCTTGGCACCGAAGAAGGGTTTTGAAACCACCACACCCAGTCGTCCTAAACCTTGTACTTATACATGTAAACTCTACGACATGCCCTGCCCCGAAGCTGAAGCCCTTGATCAAAGATCGGTCAAGTTTGGGGAGGAGCTACGCTGCTACAGTGATGGGCTCGTTGCTGCCCAGGTCCTCCGCTACGGACTTGGAAGCTTGCAAAGCGCTTGAGGGTGTTTAGGGTTTAGGGCCTCAGGGTTTAAGATGTTTAGGGTTCAGGGTGCTTAGGGTTTAGGCTGTAGGGTTTAGGGTGTGAAGGGCTTAGGGCTTTATCTTATGAGGCTTTGTAAGGGTTCAACAGGGGTTTCAAGAGGGTGTTATCTAAGTTTGTAGGGGGTCACCCAATGATGGTCTCCGAAGTACGCGAAAGTTTGCTGACCAACAAAGGACGTGCGTTAGAGCCTGGTCATAGGAAAGGACAGGTGTGTTGCCACCAAGCAATTAGGGCTTTCATCAGCTCCTGTGGATAAGATCTACAAGCCGTCAAATTGTCTTGCACACAAAGGGCATACAGCAAGCAAATCCAAGCAAATTGCCACAGCACAGCATGTGCAAATATTTCGTAGGCGGAAAAAACCATTCGACCCTCCTGAGCGGGGTAAGCCATAGCCCACTCCGGTGCTGGAGATGCCTGTACTCTACTGAGCACCGTCCAGCTTGACATGGATTGGCAAATCTTTCGCCATCACTCCTCCTCCTTGTTGGAAGCAATGTCTCCCTCACAGCCTATGCGAAAAATGTTTTGCTATCAGTGCTCCTCAATCGCTGTTCGGGGTCGAGGCTGGCACAATCTGCTGCTTTTGGTGGCAGCAACGCATGGCCGACGACATGCATGTCTTTCGTTGCTTCTCGCTGCGACCACGGGGCTGTAGTGCCTGCTGGAAAGAGGGCCTAGGCCGAACACCTTCACTGCACGAACAAACTTGGGCAAGCGCACAGTTAACCTCGAGCCTTGTCGAAAATCGCCCGGATTCGGGGCATGTGAAACTGGTTGCTGATGATTGTCAGCCTAGCACAAACAAACTCAGCCCTCCTGCATTGCGTCTCTCTGCAGCTCCTTGCCTTCTCCAGCCGGCGATGTCTGTGTGAGTTGTCCTCCGTTTTGGCCAAGGTTTGAGAAGAGCTGAGCATGTGAAAGCAAACAAAACAGCACTCTTGCCGTGCAGTTTGAATCCTCAGCATGTAAGCATTTCCGATCCTCAGCCACAGCCAGGCTGGGAGACACACGCCCGTAGGATGGCAAGTGCAGCTGCAGCCATCTGCGAAGGCTCGGGCGTGTCTAACGACCAGCTCTCCTCAAATACGTCCTGACGCTTAGGCAGGAAGCTTAGAGGCTGCTCGATAGGTTTCCGTGCCTTAAGCCGAGCCGTTCCCGGGCCCCTTACATCTAATAGACTGGGACGGGCCGTGTCATCACCTTTCGAAAACCTTCTGCGAGTCGGACGGAGGATTCTGTTGGAGGTTTTGCAAGACATGTCGACACATCGTTGTGCTTTCAGGCATTCTAGTTGAGGCCAAACTTCCGTACAAGGCAGGGACTGGATTGAATTCCTGTCCTGCGGAGGAACGTTGAAGTCTCGTATCAAGCATCGTGCATTTGCCTGGCAGTATCTGCATGCTGCTTGCAGATTATGCAACAGCAGCATGTCCTAGCTTTAAAAATGGCTCGGCTCGGCAAAGGAGGCGCCTCGGCTTCCAACACCTGGAAACCGGAGTGCGGATCACGTGGCATGGGCCTCGAAGACAATGAATCTTTTTGTCGAGTTAATTCCCAGCAGGTGCTCAACTGAAGACAAGACTTATGTGGGGTGCCAGCTGACAACATCATCACCTCGGTGCTCGGTGCTGTTCCCGATTCGGCTCGTTTGTCTCAGTACAGCCGGGAGAGAATGGGCACCTGACAGCAGCCCTCTGACCGGATCTCACATAGGCGAAGTACAGGCTGGCGGCCTGCCCGAAAGGAGGGGCATATGAGGACGGGTGTCCCGCACAGTGTCTGAGGCCTCTTGCAGTCGCCGGCGAACCTGTGCGGAAGTGCGAGCAAGAGTTCGAGAAGCTCATTTCATGTGGAGCACCCACAGAGGTGGACTGCCCTCGGCAGTCAGGCCCCCGCCGGGCACCACCACCTGACATGCCGGTGGGTCGGCTTTCTCTGGCGCAGTGTCGCAGAAACGTGGCGCTTCGACAAGATGCGGGGAGGCATCTTCGGCCTTTTCCTGATCTAGTGCTGGTATCATTACAGTTCCCACACTCGGAAACTGATGACGAAGTGCCCAAACTTGGAAACCGGGCTCCGACGTCCGAAATCATCTTCAGAAGCAGAATCAGTGCACCACCAATGCTCCCATAAAGAAGCGGCCATTTCATCCTGCGGCCCCACATGACGATGTGAGTCTGACCGATCCACGTGTCTACCGCAAGGTGCCTAGTCGCGAAAGTCACTACCTGCTTGTAGGCCTGGGTACAGCGGCTCAAGGGGCTGCAGGGCGCTCGCTCCTCTCAGAGTCTCAGGCCTGCGCAGGATCCATCCAGCCAAATGTCGAGGCTCCGGGTTCTCCATATGATCAGTCCTGTATGATCCTATATGTCTTCGATGACCTCGCAGGTTCATCTGGCTGGTGGCTTGGGACGGAAGTCATGTCGTGAGGCTAGGGCTTCAATATGTTGAGTGTGAAGCGTCTGCGGGGTGGCTGTGTTGAGATACTTGGATATATACGTAGATATGGGTGGTCTTGTGTTCAGCTGCGCACGGCCAGGCCAGGCTCCCGGAACTGAGCGTCGCAACGTGCGTATTGTAACAGTGGAAGCAGCGGAGTCGATTTTCCTAGGCCACTCGGTGTGGCAAACCAGAGTCAAAGAGGCCGCTTAAAGATGGATCAGTGGGACCTGGGAGCAAAATGCACATCCATCAGGGCATACTACAAAACAGCTATAATTTGTAGTCGATCAAGAAACATGCCATACCTTCCACCACACTGAGGAGCCACTCAAGCTCCAAATCTGCCAGGTCATGGATATGCGGGCGGACCCGGCAGCTACGAAGGCCAGGCTCAAGAGAACTTGAGCTTGAGCGGTAAGCGCTCTCTGCAAAATTCAACACAAATTACCGGAAGCTCCAAACATTCAAAGAAAAAGCGCAGGCTTCATGATGTCGGCTTGGACAGTCTCTGGACGGCCAATCACCTTGGTTTTGCGGCATGCTTGAAAGGCTCAACGCAGCAAACCTTACCTTTGCATGCCATGCATTGCTGTGCCTCAATCGCAGACGCGTCACTTGCAAAAAGGCCTCCGCCCAGAGATGCCCAAGACTCAAGCACCGGCCACGGATAGGAAAGCATAATTCGCTTCGTCCGTATGGTTAAGCTGAGCTGGAGCTATCAGTGGGACAGCTGCCTTGTTTTTCTAGTTTTCCTATTACAGGCCGGCACAAACAGCCCTGCGACGGGTGGAGCCGAAGGCCCAGCGCCATGCGCTCAAAGGCTGCGGCTGGCATCAACAGCTCCGATCTTTGCAGTCGTGGCTTTGCCACCGCGAAAACAAAAAGGAGACAGTCAGCTTCATTTATGGAAAGCGAGGCATTCGAACGCATATAGCACCTGGCAATGCCCAGCACCGTCTTTAACAAATTACAACAGCAAGGCGATAGTACAGAAGATATCCCTGTGGTTCACTTAGTCCCGGACAAAACTGCATGCTCTGCGCAAGCCGCTAGGCGTACGACTCCTTCGGGTTGGCCTTGAGGACCTCCTCCTTCGGATAGATTTCATTGGCAATCTGACTTGCTGTTTGACTGGAGCATCGGAGTATGAAGCACGGGCAACCTCAGCATCTTTTTTGCACTTGGGGCTTGCAATATCATCCCAAGCGCCAGGGCCGGATTGACCGATGTCAGTCTGCCCTTGGAGTGCTTCCTCGATAGCCTGCAGCCCGAACGGCAAATGCACACACAACTATCGACATCTCTGACCGTCTGCAAGCTTATCAAGCTTGCCTGCTGAAGTCGAAAGCCGAAGTCACCAGAGTATCTGCCACATTGACAAATATGAGAAATGACGGCGGCAACTGCACTGGAAGACCTCTGCGCTCGTTCGCTGTTCTGCCGCAAAGCTTCTTGATGAGCTTCGTAGTGGCCTGTGCAGGCTCAGTTGGATTGCGGTTCGTCAGAGATGCTTGCTCAAGCTAGTCGAAAGCATTTGTCAGAGATGCCTGGGCAAAGTTGGTTGCAAACTGACAGGACCTTAAGCATCGGGAGCGATTCTCTGAAGCTCTCAGGTGACTGTAAGACTTGGCCGAACGAATTGCACCTCATCGATATCTGTGCTCTGGAGGACGACCATGCCTGCCTGACTGGAGATCTTCAGGTGGCCGCTCAAAAGATGCAACTGAGGAACATTCATCCAAGCTGCAACATCGAAGAAGTCGCCGATGTTCGGACCTCTGCATGAGACTGTGCATCGTATGTCACGGCAAGTACGCAAGGCATGTTGGGGAGCCGGCAGCCCCAGTAAACGGGCATGGACTGCGTGAGCTGCGATGTCGACCAGGGCAAGCACAGTGTGACGAGACGAGCAAGCGGATGGATTTTTGCAGCGTCCGAGCGGCCAAGGCATCCAGAAGCTTCTCAGAAAAGTAGTTCTCATGCCTGGAGTTCTCGATGACCTGGCCAAACAAAAGGAAACACATCATGCCTGAGTCATGGTAAACAGTCTAGAGAAACCTTTGACAGCCTTTCTCCCAAGTGAAACCTGAAGAAGGACGTGGAAGGACTGGCTTCTGATAACTGTACGACCATCTTTGGCTTATGATAACTGTACGACCATCTTTCCCCGGCGCTTGCTTCGCTACTTGCCTGCTACTTGCAAAGCACTTCACAACCCATGATTACCTTGCTGTGGTCGTGTACCCCCTTCCCTGGCCAACCGTGTGGCACCAGCACGAACTGGTTGAAGAACTGGATGTTGCGCTCATCACGACTTATGCCTCCTCCCTGGAGGAACTCGAGCGGCACCTCGCAAGGGACAGTTTAAAGTGTCTCTTGTGTCTGGCACAATGTTTCGCACGCTGTCTTCTCCTTCCAAGACATGCTTTCGTCACCGTGCCTCGCACACGCTTTGGAGTTGCTCCCGAGCCTTCCAAAGTCATCGAAAGCAGAATCGGAAACCAGGAAGAACCGGTCGCCGAGCCTCCCAGATCCGGTGACGCAGACGGTGTCCGGTCGTTTGGCTTTTGCTCCCTGAAGAGCAAAACCACAAGGAGCGGGAGACAGCGGGAGCGGGCCGCGGGGCCTCGGAGAAATCCCAGGCCAGGCTTCTTCGAAAGAAACCGAGGCCACTCTGCCTTCACGGAAGTTCTCGATTCACCTTCTTCCCCTTCCTCCTTGGCTCTTGAGCCCAAGGATGCGGCTGGCAGGAGCCAGGGAGTAGCAGGCACGAAGAAGCGGGACTGCCGGAGTTCCTAAGCCACCAGACATCACCAGACTGCAAGGGACAGCCAAGCGATCTTCAGCCCGTGGCAAGATGCTGCTGTTGCCAAGTCAGAACCAGGTCAAATCCCTGTCCAGCTCTAGTCACTTGAGCTCGGATCTCGGAGAGTCTGAACACATCCCAGCCTCTAACTGCAACTGCTTGACATCAGGCGGCTCCTGCACGATGAGAACCTGCCGACATCGAACCACAGATTTGTTCTCAACGCTTTCACTCGCCTCTCTTAGCAAGCTGCACTACGGCGATTCACGCGAAGCTCAGCAGGGACAGCAGACTCAGTTGCAGAGATTCTGAGGACGCAGGCGAGCTCCTCCGTGTTCGGTTGGACAGCGTTCTCGCAGAGTACCGGCATGCTCTTTCGGGGGTGGGTCTGCCATGACAGGCCTCTGCTACTCCAGCTGCGGGTCCAAAGACGATGCTCGCTTCAGGACATCTCCAGTGCTAAAGTCAAAATCGTCTTCGGCAAGCTGCATGTGTGCAGCAGCTTGAATCAGAACCGAGGCCAAAGCATCAGCCAGGTCATTCATCGATTCTTTTGAATCCTGCTCCGCGGCTTTTGCGACCTTTTCGCTTGCTCGAACCAGGCCTCGTGCTAACTCTGCATGCGTCAGGTCGTCCCAAGACTCTCCCAACTTGATGCGTCGTCCTGCCATCCTGTCACGGAGATCTGTGAAGGACCCACCGCTGCTGGCTGGCACGAACAAGGATGTAGTTATGCCAATGCTCTTGCTGCGGTCGATGTTCTGCAGAGGTAACCACTCCACTTGAGCAGTTCCTTGAACGCCGGCCGAATGGACCAGGGCTACCTCATGCTCTGCCTCGTAGGTGCTCATAAGGACAAGCTTTAGAGCATTGGCCGAGATCTGATCATCTACCTGAGAAATCAACAGCGGAGTGCTGCATTCGAAAGGGAGGGACTGGAAGCCAGTGAGCTCGTAAGCATCTCCCACAGCCAATCGTGGAAGCATATCCACACCCAGGGCGGCCAGTGAAGGCTCCACGAAGCTGACACCGGGCAGTACTTCGACTCTCACACCTTCATCGGCACTTCTTTGTCGAATCATCTTCGTAGTTGTTTCGCCCACGCACGGATCGCCGGGCACTGCATAGACAACTTCACCGTGCTCTTTTGCTAGCTCCAAGATAGTGTCCGAAATGTTGCTGTACAACCCCTCGAACGTGTCAGCTTCCTCATAATACTGATCAAAGGTTGTGAGAGTCACAGATGCTGGGAGTGACTCCAGGACGGGATGCTTCGCAAAGCGTGCGTACAACCGCTGACAGTTGCAAAGCTGGCTCCACACGCCTTTCGTCAAGTGCTCCGGGTCTCCGGGGCCGAGGCCAGCGATGAGGACTCGCGGCGTTATGCACGCTGGCGCTGGCCGGGCAAGTGCACAACCAAGGCATAGCACTGCCGCGCAGCACTTGTAGTGTCTGCGGGGGTTTTGGTGATTGGAGGCAGGCATGCAACCACGACATGCTTGGGCTTGGGCCATCTTGACTGCGTCGAAAATACCAAGTCGTTTGCGTACCGCACAGCCTTATATCACGTGCTCCCAAAGCCCATGTGCACCTTCAGCGTGGACTTGGACTTTGCAGGCCGAAGTCTGAGGTCCACGTCGAGCCAAACTTCAGCCTCTCCGCTTGTGAAGCGCCGTAGCACCCCGTAACGCCGTAGCCAAACTAAGCCACTCTAAGCCGGTGACTGCGCGACTTAGCCGAATGGAAAGGACGCCGCAGTTGGCTAGATCCTTCGCAGCGTCTGTCTAGAGGCTAGTGACACTTGGGAGGAAACTTGAGCGGAGAAGCCGTGCCTCTTGCAGCTGCAGATCCTGCTGTCCCAAATGTCCGGCAAGAACAGATAGAGCTTCACTGGCACAGTCAGCACACGTTTCAACTGTAGTGAGCACTCACAGGAACCAGCAAACATCTACGCTCATCTACGCTCGCACTTCTGCGCCTGTGAGCGAGGCTCTGATGCACCGTCGCCAACATTGGCCGAAATATGCCGAAATTACTTTCAGCTCTTAGATGCACGAGTGAACAAAGATGATATCGCGTTTGGTGAACTTGCTGCTGGGCATCTCCGCATTGAATATAGTCATGAACTTCCTGCTGGGTGTCGATGTGCTGGAAAAGCTGGATCTGGAGCCACGTCGACAAAGGCTTCAAAACAAACACACGCACACACAGACACACACACACACACACGCACACACACACACAGACACACACACACACATAGACACACAGACACACAGACACACACACACACACAGAC